GGAAAGAAAAGAGGATTGAATGGAGGGGCAAAATAGGTTAAACTCTACTAAATGCAATAATAATGAATAACGGAAATTTATCCCGAATAAGTAAATAATATAACAGCCATAAAATGAAAACACAAGTTATCAATGCTATTAAATAATAATCATAGAAATGATTTTCAACCAAACAAATCGAGATATTTTTTGTAACGCAAAAAAAAAAAACAAGAAGAACAGCAAGAGTGAAACTCCCCCAAACAAAACTTAGGTAAGATAGCACTTTGAGACTTCAAAACTATTTTTTTTTTTATAATTTAATTAATTGGTTAGTTAATTTTGCATATAAATCTCATTAATGTCCAAAGTTCCATCCATATTCCATGACCTTGTTCACACACACACATGTAACATATATATATTTTACATGCTTCACATGAAACTATCTAATTATATACATACACATGTACTACATGTATTGATTGGAAGATGAAAGCTTCACTGTGATTTTGCTCAGTTGGGTCTCAGCCGTTTAGATTCTGTCAGAACTTCTCTCATTCTCTCTCTCTCTATCTCCATTGGATGAATCTTTGAACCGATTCTTCACGCTTTCTTTTCCTCTGGCATTGTCTCTTCTTCTTCTTCCCGCTCGAATTTTCCCGGAGATAATCCACCAGGAAACTCTGCCATCGCTCTGTTTACCCAAGATCCAATCGACAGAATCTTCGAGATCAAATCCAAAAAGAAAAGAAAATGGGGAAGAGGACGAGCAGTGGAACAAGAGACTGGAGACAGATCTACGCGATTTACGGGATGGAAGAGAAGCACACGTTCATCTTCCTCCTCGTGAGCGCCGTCCTCTTCTCCATCCTCTCCTCCCTCTTCCTCTTCTACTTCCCCCAAATCTGCGCCTTCCTCGACTCCACCTTCCTCCTCCACAGGCTCTCCTCCTCCGCCGCCGCCGGGTTCGCCGGAGCCGTGACGGCGATCTCCGCCCTCTGCCTGTTCTTCGCGGCGGCGAACATGCTGTACTCGGCCGGGCCGTTACGGCACGAGATGGCGCAGAGGATGGTGGGGTGCGTCGGAGATTGGTCGGGGGTGAAGACGGCGTTGGACGTTGGGTGCGGGAGAGGGATTCTCCTGAATGCGGTGGCTACGCAGCTGAAGAAGACGGGCAGTTCGGGTCGGGTCGTCGGGTTGGACCGATCCATCTCCACCACTCTCTCCACTCTCCGTACGGCTCACCTCGAAGGTCGATTCTTTTTTTTTCCTTTTACCAAAAAAAAAATATAAATCAACATTTGGTGTTTTCTCGGTCGGATGATACAACAGATCACAAATGTAAGAACTCCAAACTTTTGGGTACGTGAAAAATGCAAACTCTTTCTAAAATTCATAAACATTTTAAGCTTTTTTAGCAAAAATATCTAAATTTAAGATAATTTATAATTGAAAATTACAGAGAACATATTGAGATATTTTTTATTTAGTTGGAATATGTAGTAAGAGTTATATTCTATTATATTTTCTTATAAAATTATTGACAAATCAATGAAGCTTTTGGGTGTGGGTCAAAAATTCAGACTTTTCTAAAGTTCATCTACTTTTTTGGTGAAAGTTTTGTACTTTCATGGCGAAAATTGTGCAAGTAGACGATAATTTGTAACAATGGTGGGATACTGATGGAACGTGTACACACACAGGAGTGCAGGAGTACGTGACGTGTCGTGAAGGGGACGTGAGGAGGCTACCGTTCGGAGACAACTACTTCGACGTGGTTGTGTCCGCCGTGTTTCTCCACACGGTCGGGAAGGAATACGGCCAACGGACAGTGGAGGCGGCGGCGGAGCGGACGAGGGTCCTGGGGGAGTTGGTGAGGGTCCTAAAGCCGGGCGGAGTGGGCGTCGTATGGGACCTCGTCCACGTGCCCGAGTACGTGAGGAGACTGCAGGAGCTGAAGATGGAGGAGATTAGGGTTTCGGAGCGAGTCACGGCCTTCATGGTGAAGAGCCACATCGTGTCCTTCCGCAAGCCTCCTCGTCCCCACCTTGTGGGGCCCGGAGAGGTCCGGCTCGACTGGAAATGATGCTGACGTGGCTGTCGGATGTTTATGGGATGGTGGTGGTATAGTAGTAGTACTAGTGGTGATCGGAATCATGGGAAAGAGATGAGGCGTAAATGTGTGGGTAAATGTCCCGTCCCATGCAAGTGAATACGGAGGCAGAAATAGCTCTTTGCCAAGTATACGTACTTTGATATTATAACCGACATTATTATAAAAAGGTTTTCATGGTCAGGTTTTTAGAGATTAGGAACCCTAAAACACTAATGATAGCTAGCTTTCTGTTTTGTATGTGTCACTTGAAATTATCTCTAAAAAAATTTAGGAGGAAAAGGACATACAAAAAATCATAAATGGTGTAAAGTAAGAATGTGTATTTAGGGAATACCCAACCTAGTGGTTAGTGACAACTCCCCCCTACCAAGAGGTTGTGGGTTCGAAACCCAGGTATGGAAACTCCCCTTGAGCCGGTCAGCTTTACGAGGTTGGTTTACCTGCTCTGCGTTGTTTGCCGACTACTGTGTAGGGCGGTGGATTTTTTCAGGTCCACGATACTGTCCTGATGTCGTTATCGTCCGGCCCATGGGTTGAGAAGTGTTGTGGTGTCCGATATCCAATCCGAAGGGTGATAGGATAGGGGTTTCCCATCGTAAAAAAAAAAAATGTGTATCTACACACATAATCATGCATACATATATATACGCATAACAAACATGTGTCTACTACACACAGATACATGTGTATATATATATATATATATATATATATATATGTGGTTTCTCAGAAAAATTAGGTGGGATATTAATGCAAGGGGGGGGGGGGGCGAATTTAAATGTGGGTGAGGGATGGTGAAGATGTGATGGCAGGCAGTTGCTTGAAAATGAAGGGATTTGAACATAGAAAAGTGATGGGGTATTTTTTATTTTTGGTGAAGATTGTAGAGAAGAATGAAAGGACCGGTGCAGGTTGTAGAATGAGAGGACGTGATTTTTTTTCTGAAGGGTATTCACAAAGTTTGGTTCGGATATTCAATGTGTAATTCTCTGTCCCCACTTGAAGATTAAAACAAAAAAAATACCTTGTTGAGTGGGTCATGGTCGGAATCTGACCATTTATTGTGCGCACGTTATTATTCAGAACAAAAAAAATCTCAAATAATTTAACTCAAATCTAACTCTGGATCGACGATAACTGACAGAAGACAGTGGTACGAAGACGTCGAAGGCTGAACTCCCAGATGCACTCTCCAACGTTGAAACACCAAAAAACTCCCAAAAACACACACACCCATCCATATGATGTGCAGAAAATGTTAACAACAATAACAGCCTCATTACTCTTGATTCGAAATCTCTACACCAAATAGTGTTGTAAAAAAAAACATTGGCGAAAACTGGAACCAGATTTAATGAAATGAGAGTGGAATATGTATGGTTGTAAGAGAGCTTTTTAAATGGAAGGGGTCAGTGGCGGATCCAGAAAAAACTTATACCGGGGGCACATTATTATATATATATATATATAAACTAATAAAAATATATTGTCATACAAAAATTTATATTTTACAACTGATTTCTACGATTCTTCATTTTTTGAAATCTATCAATAACAACTTCATTTGTAACTGTCTGAAATATATCCTTTTCGATGAAACATACCAAACAATCACTCAAAAACTGATCACCAATTCGGTTGCGCAAAGCCGTCTTCACAAAGTTCATTGATGAAAACATCTCTCAACAGTCGCGGTGGCAACGGGCAAAATCAATGCCAATTTCAAAAGTCGGTATACCAATGGATATGAAAGATGTTTCTTTGTTTCCACCATAAGACGAGCAAGATCTCCGAGATTAACCAAATTAGAAAATCTGTCATCTTCCATCAGATTATCGAAGTAGATACTCAATTCATGTCGAAGAGATATTTGCTCCGTAAAACTGAAGTCATCTGGATAAAATCCAGCCAATTTCACCAGATTTGGTATGTTAAACTCACGAAATGAGTCAACAGGGCCCAAAGTTGCCATACATATGAGCAATTCTGAATTTACCTCGTCAAATCGATCATTGAATTCTCGAAGCTGAAAATCCATAACAGTATAGAAACAATCTATCTGATAGTGATACAAGTTGCTTATGCTGGATTTTTTTCTTAGCCTCCTTGAATCCATATAATCTTCCTCCATATTGATTATTTCAATATCGTGTTTCTCACAAAAAGAAGACACATTATCTAAAAGCAAATCCCATCCAACGTCTCTTTGTTGTTGTAATTGTCTCTTTGTAGATTTCACCAACGAAATGGCATTCAAGATGTCTTGATCTTTTCTCTGTAAAGCCATTGATAAATTATCCGTGAGTCCTAGAATGAGCAACATCAGTTGTAGATAGAACACAAAATCAAATGTGTGGAAATATTTGAGAAGACCATAGGCTTGACGTCTTTTAACTGCATCTGTACCATCATTCTCAACATGCTCTAGCACCTCAATGACAGAAGAAAATAACTCAACCAAGCGCAACAGTGTTTTGTAATGAGATCCCCAACGAGTATTTCCAGGTCTCTGTAAAGTAATATCTTGATACAACCCAGTTCCTATACTAATCTCGCCATTATTAATTTTTTCGTTCACCTTTATTCTATGACTTTCTCGAATCATGTCTTTTCTTTTGCAGGAACCTCCAACCACATTCAACAAAAGTGAAATCATATCGAAAAAATTTCCAACATCAAAGAGTTCCTTTGCAACTGCTACAACGACCAATTGAAGTTGGTGAGCGAAACAATGAACATAATATGCTGCTCTATTTTCTCGTGAAATCAACGATCTCAATCCATTAAATTCACCTTTCATATTGCTTGCTCCATCGTACCCCTGTCCTCTAATTTGTTTTAAGCTCAATCCATATTTAGCAAATAAGGAATCAATAGCAGACTTCAGAGATAAGGCAGATGTTTCTTTCACATGAATAAGCTCAATGAATCTCTCTTTCACTATCCCGTTCTTATCAACAAAACGAAAAACAACTGCCATCTGCTCCTTATCAGAAACATCACTAGACTCATCCACCAGCAACCCAAACACATCATGACCAATCTCTTGAATTATATCTTGGGTTATTTGTTCTGCGAAACATTGTACAATATCTTTCTGTATTGTTGGAGAAACCATCTGACTATTCCCCGGAGCATTCTTCAAAAGAACCTTACTCACAACATCATTTTGTTCAGCAGTATACTTCACAAGTTCCAGAAAATTTCCTTTATTATCAGAATTTTCTGACTCATCGTGGCCTCGAAACGGTAGTCCTTGTTTCAACAAAAATCTAGAAGAACTAATCGAGGCATTCAACCGAATACGATACTCGTTTCTCGTAATATCACTTTGCTTATGCATAGCATGTACGATAGATTGATCTTGCCTCATCAAATCATCATATTTTTTTCGTGCATTATTATGAAAACTATTAACATCATCCACATGAGCACTCAATCTCTCGGTCTTATTCCAACTAGAAAACCCATCTGTCACAAAAGCATCATTCTCAACTTGTTCTCTAAACAAGTAACAGCACAAACAAAATGCTCCATCTTTCTTTATACTGTACTCTAGCCAATCACCGTATTGGTCAAACCATACTGGATTAAATCGTCTCAATTTATTCCCTATCATCTTCTTTGGAAAGTTATGACCACGTGGTTGACAAGGTCCCCTAATCAAATATTTGCGTCGTATCTCATCTCTTTGATTAGGATGATACTCTAATATTTTTTTCTATCAGCCGGATCCGAAGGCAAATCATGTAAATCAATTTGCTCAGGTATTGAGGGCCTAACCTAAGAATTTGATATATTGCCGATTGGAGTTTTACCCCTATCTTGAGATATCGATGCAAAATTTCTCTTGAGAAATTTATCCATTGGTTTCTCTGTCAAATCAAAAATATGATTGAATAAATATTTGTAACAATAAATTTATAAATATGATCAAAACATAGAAATCGATGAACAAATACAAAATAAAAATTATTTCAAAAAAAATTATAACACATCCATACCTTTAATTTGGTTGTTCTTTATTTTTTTATATGGTTAAATATTAGATTTGAGAATTTTTTTTAGAGAACTGAGAAAGAGAGGGAAAATAAGAAAATAGATGAAAACAAAGAGAAACAATGAAGATGATTGTGTTTTTTTCAAAGTAAATTTGTATTAGAAAACCTTTCATAATAATTTTGTATTAGAAAAAGGTTTAATTTTAAAAAAAAAACAAAAAATAAAGAATACGAAACGGCGGTGACTAACAAACAAATAACCTAAATCTTTATAAAAATATAATAAAAAATAAAAAAACTCATAAGAGGGGGCCCACATAAAAACCTAACGGGGCACTAGTGTAAATCTCTTCAAACTTTTAAATATATGAATGATTTTTTATTTTTTTGAGTGGGGTCCTGTGCCCCCACTCCTATATACTTACATCCGCCCCTGGAAGGGGTTACCTGATTGGGACGCAGAAAGAGCAGCTGAGAACCGGAGGCAATTGGAGGGTTACAACTTATGTACGCTCCGTCTATGTAGGGCAACCCGAGATGAGGCGGACGGACGTAACCAGCTACCACCAGGACAGGCACGTAATATCGAAATCACTATCCTCGAACCTGTCATCGTATGAAAGCAGCTTCATTAACAAAACTGTCATATATATATATATATATGTGTGTTAAACTTATATCTTTGCAGGTTTCAGAAGAGGCCGCTCAGCTACATGGTGATGCTTACCATTGCGAAGCTAACAAGACCACCACTGTTATTCATCATATAATTTTAGAAACTTTACGGCATTTTAAGGTAGGTGAAGAGAAGCAAAAGGGTTGAAACCTTAGGTTCATATATGAATTGATATGGAAGCAAATCATATTCGGAGATTTGGGGTGGTTCGACTAACTATGAAACTAGAAATTCTAGGGACAACCCGGCTACCTATGAATTTCTACTTGAAAACAAGACAGAGCTCCTAATAATAGTAATGGGTTAGCATATGAAACTATACCCAGGAAACATGATCTAAAGAAAATACAGTATAGATCCAGGGGGTGAATATAAAATTCTAATAACGTGATTAGTAGAAGTGTTAATGCTATGGCTTACATGTTCTGTACCCTCACTTCCATCAAGATCTTTCAACTTTTCAACTCTCCACTGCATGCTAATAAGTTGGCCGATCCTAAGCCCATCTGAAGGGAGTGGGGGAAAAGAAAACCAACCGCAAGGCAAGGATCGAGCACAGGCCGTTGCAAAACAATGGCACTCCTGAAGACCAAATCCCGTTTCCCAGTATCAATTGCAGAGCGATCCACATCGACAGGTTTGTGCGCTCCTGCTGTTTTATCACCATCAATTCTAAATTTGATGTGCAGTATGCTATCTGGCTGCTGCAACTCTTCTGCTGTGGTGCAGAAATAGTAAGTCTGCAGAGCAATATTTTCCATAGTCAAATGCAAGCATGTGTTAAGGTGATGCTCAAAAGTGATAACTCATAAATTTGGACAATTTCATATAAACCATCTTGGTGAGATAAATTTAAATAAGCAGGAACTAGAAAGACCTAATAGAAATGAGCAGGAAATTTCCTTTATTATCAGAATTTTCTGACTCATCGCACTGTTAAAGAAACCCGATCAAATGGATGTAGAACGTTCTGGCCACATCTATCAGCATATTAGGCACTCTTCTGGGATCAGAAATAGCTCTTGCCTCTTGGATTGCATATAACCTTAGAGCCGTCTAATAGCACGTGCAAAAGGTGCGATCGAACAGGGCCCCAAAAAATATAGGGCCTCAATTATTTTAAAAATTATTAATAATATATATTATTAAATGTAATTTTTAATAATTATGTGTATGGAGTCTCAACAAAAAAACTATTTTAATTATATTTAAATATTATTATTATTTAATATATAAATTAATATATTTTAATAATTTAAAAGTATGATATGTACGGGGCCCCAAAATTTTATGAGACGGCTCTGGTCTTATCCCTGTTTAGTATTTTTTTTTAACTCTCTCTTCTAAGGCAAATCCAACGTGTTGTCATAGAGATATGGAATCCATATATTATATAATAAACAAATGGTCGGAGAATTTGAAGATTAAGATAGTTTATAGAATTTATAGTTGTTAAAAGAGCAACCTCTAGTTATGTTTATTGAGTTCATTTTTTAAGTTTATAGAATTAATATAGTTAAGGGAGTTAAAAATTTTGGGTTTAAAAATATTAACATTTAAATTTATAGAATTAAAATACCAGTTTATTTCATATAAAATAATACGCAAGTAAAAGTGAATTCATCAGATAACGATACAACAACAGTCGTTCAGATAAGGATGTGAGAAATACCTCATATGCTGAACAGAAGTCCTGCCCGGGATCTGGGAGAAACAACCAAGTGGAAAGAAGGTTGAAGTTGGTCTTCCATCACCTTTTCCGGTATGGACAAATCCAAATTGAAGATCAAGCCAAGCATCATTAATTATCAGGTCGGCCTTGACAGGTAGTGTAACATAACCTGCCAATAGACAGTTATGTGAGCACTGAGATCTGAATAGAATCAAAGGATAAGAGTTCATCATTGTGAAAAAACGAAAATCACTACCTGCTAGACCAAAAGTTCCACCATCGCATTTGTCACGTGGAAAGGATCAGTAAAGTGTACGGCCGGGGTTCTACTCATGACAACAAAGCAGGATAAGTTCAGAGATAAATTCGGTCTAGAATTTAGATAAGAAACATCTAATAAGCAAGCATCATCTTCCATCCTGCCTGAAAAACCCTCAGTAACTAAGCCTTTCAATCGTTTCCAACTGAAAAGAAGAAGGCGTGAAATGTTCACATCCTGTGTGATGTTCCTTATCCATTCAACTTCAGATCACCCACTCTAACAAGCCTTCCCGAAGTTCAAGCTCCCCCAAGTCACAATTTTACCGTGTTTCAGTTTCAATCCATCATAATCATACGCTAACCCCAGTTACCGACAATTTTCCTATTGAGAAAAGGAATCGGGCAACATCCCCAAACTACTGTATTCAAACCGTAGAATCACAGAACCCGACGAGAAAAAATTAGATAATTGTATAACCCCGTCGATGAAATGATGATATAGTATCCAAGCAACTAAGTGAAAGCAAACAGTCTCCCTAAGGAAGAATCCATCGCGAATAAGCAATTTACCGGAGATTACGAGGCGATCGCAGGAGCCTTTGACCGTCTGGAACTGCGCCAGGTAGTTCGCCATCTCCCTCCCGATCTACACGAACCATACGGTAGTTCGACAGTGAGCGATATCGGAATTTAGTATGCTCGGAGACTCGGAGTATTGTGCTTCTGTATGGAAGAAGCGAAATTGTGTTCTATGGTTATCAGATTTCATCCTGACCGTTGGATCCTTCGCACTGTTCATAATTCGTCCTTGCCAGCAGGTCGACGAATTAACTGAGTGCCGTTTTAGCGGACTAATAACGACACGTCGTTTATCGATTGCTATAACAAACTACATTAATAAATTCATGGTGTAAGGTTTGAATCTGTATAATTTAGAATGATATTCTATAACTTTGAGAAGTAATTTGATTTGAATATCTCTTAATTTGTTCTTAACTTTTGATTTCTTTTTACTTAATCATTTAATATGTATTAAAAATATATATGTATTTAGTTGATATAGTCTTTATTTACAGAATATATTAAAATGTTATTCAGTTAAATATAATCACAAAACACCTAGTATTTTTACGGTTATCGCAATTCAGAATGAAATTGATAGACCAACACATTTTTTAGGAGTTATTAAAAAAATCCATGTGTATTATCATATATATATATATATAACAATGGGAAATCGTATTAAACATTCAATATAATTTTGCTTTCCTATGCATTTAGAACCAATCAATTAAATACACTAGTGAAATGCATAATATCCAACTACAACTTCTTTGCGGTACTAATAATGCAATTAGGGACTTTGCTTATTCATCTACGTCTCTTCATTTTTTTTTTCCTTTTTTTTAATAACCGGATGTCATTAGTCGAAGTCTATATTAATCTCGAGATCGAAAACAAACCGTATGATTGAAATTATATTCATTTATCTAACTTAAAACTCGAATTCGAAATAGAACAAACACTTTACATACTAATTTCACCGTTTGAACTATCTATGTTGGATTACATCAATGCCTTCAAAATATATTATACATATATATGTTGCAGACATACATATGTTGCAAAGAATATTGGTCGAATTATCATGTAACTCAACTAATTATCATATCTATATATATATGAATTCCATATTGATCTTTAAGGGCTCTATAATAAAATAAGTATATATGGTTGGTATTTTATTTTTTAATTAACTGACTAAAAGATTATATTTTTCTTCCTTTTTTTTATTGAAATAGAGCCACATCTACATTACATACCAAAGCCTAACCAACAAAAATATAAAAGGACAAACAATGCATTTGCCCATCGGGAAGATTCTTCAAAGCTATGGCCCCCCGCCCACTAAGCCAAACCCCTTTCCATTTTTAGGAACCCCTAAAGCTACACCCAAAAACTGTGTAGTATAGCCCAAACAATTCCCTATTATTTACACAAATTGCCACTCTCATCTCTAGCCGCACACATCCCAATCCATATGATCCATCCTCATCATCACTGCCTAAACCAGAACCCATGGCTCGAAAACCCGTCCCCGAAAGGCTCGACCGAGTTGACCCCAGACTCGACCCAGTTGTATCCGGAAGAACCATGAGTCAATCCGTCCGAGTTCCTCAACCCACTCTCCGCCTCCTCATCTGCCGCCACGAACGAGTTGTTACCGGTGTAATTTGGAACGAGGTCCGGAACGGGATTTAGACCCGCCAAGGTTGCCCAATCGAGATTGCTGATTTTGTCGTCGTTGAGAAGCGATCTGAGCGAGTTCATCCGAGGCAGGTTGAAGAATTGTTCGTTTATCTCCGGTATCGAGTCGAGGACGTCGTCGAGCTGCGAAGCCGAAGACGACAACGACCCGTTCATACTGTGTTCTTCACGCTCACGGTATGTTTGACCCGGAACCTGTTTCTGAGCACCGGTGGATTTCTTGTAAATCCGGCACAAAACCCATTCATCCAGCTGCAGAGACAGAAAAGAAAAAGGTCAAATCCATGGAATCCAGATGGGGTTTATCAGACATTTGATTATGCTTTGTAATCTTTTCACCATCTTTGTACCTTGGAGCTTCCATTGTTGGTACGAGAAGGTTCGATGAGACGATACTCATGCATGATCCAGTTGGTCTTGGTGCCTTTGGGAGCTTTTCCGGCGTAAAAGACGAGAGCTTTCTTGATTCCGACGCGGCGACCCTCCGCGGAGATGATCTTGTCGGTACCCGTCGCCTTCCAATAACCCGACCCGGCTACTCTGTTGGGTCTCGACCCGTTCGGGTATTTCCTGTCCCTCGGGCTGAAAAAATACCATTCCTTTTCTCCAAACAAGGCCTTGCCTGCACATCCACGTATATATAAACAGCACAAAAACACGATCAATCAACTTGTTCATAGGGGAGGCACCCTCGAGTGTCCTAACTTTGAATTGGATAAATTTTTGTCTCTGTTTTTTTGGGAAAGATGGAAACTTTGTGAGGGTCCTTACTAGGTAGATCCCAAGGATCGAACTTGTAAAGATCGATCTCTCCGATGACTTGAAGAGAGAACCCATGGCCTGCGACTTTCCGACAGAGATACTGAACAAGAAGCTCTTCATCCGTCGGATAGAATCTGAAACCCGGAGGCAAACTCAACTGGGCTAACGGATCTTTCTCTCGAACTCCCATTTTCTCGGAGGATTAAAAAATCAACAGCAAACAGCAAACGAAGACGATAAAGAACTGTTCGTAACACTTGTTCGAACACAGAAAAGTTTTTTTTTTTTTTGGTTTCTCTGATTCGCCTTCTTCTTCGATCTCTTTCGGAAAGTGTAGATGATATGCTACTTATATAGGCCGTGAAAAGGTTGAACCTTTAGTTCTCTGGATCAGTACGGTCGTCCTAGTCTTACTGTTTTTGATTTCTTATGCTACCCATTTTAACCATTAAGAAGCTGCCACGTGTTCTGAACGACCGGCCGACCTTATCATGCTTTCGTACAATATTTTCCTGCAATTTAATGTGCAAAATATGCACTGTGGATTTTGATTTTTCTCTATGATTTTTTTTCCTTTTTAAATATTTTTGGCACAACAATTATAGCGAGATTTAAAAAAAATATATAGTATAAGGTGATTTATTTAATATAAAACTGTAAAATTTAAAATAAGGAGATTTTAATTTTAAAATGTAAATTGACATCCCTAAACATTTTTTGTGTGTATTGCAAAAGTTTTCTTTGCCTTTTTTCTTCGATTAAAGCTTAGTTTCCAGACTCGGATCCATGTCGTTTTAGATGCATGAATCGTCAAGAAAGCTGGAATTTCGAAACGAGGGACACGTGTCAGTACAAGTGTCCACGTTCTAGAAACCCAAAAAAGCCTAACAATGATGTGCATTCATAAAACCCTAATAATTATTAATAGAAACCATATTTAATTATTTGTATATTTTAATATTTCGAAGATAATAGTTTTTTTCCCCTTATTTGAACGATTATTCGAGTTTATTTAGTTGTAATCTTCGTAATTAAAAAATTGTAAAACCCTCGAAAAGAAAATTGTTTATCTTTTCGATATCTAGGATGAATATAAATTTCTATCCGAAACCATAAAACCGAATCTCTTTAATTTTATTCATTTTTATTTCGTTGTTAATTCGATGTTGTTGAAGATTTATTGGGTTGTTTTATAACAAATAAAATAATTTTTTTTATAACCAAAAAGATCGCAAGTGACAAAAATAACCTAGTAGCAAAGTTAAAAAAGTGACATAAATGTATAGCAGACACGTGTAAGGAAAGTTAGGCAGCGAATTCTAAAGAGGAAACCAATAGATAATTATTTTTTTAAAAGAAAAAGGGCAACATAAAAAAAACAACATTATCGATTTTTTTTTACAATAAAAAGGAAAAAAACTTTTCCCGTTTCGCAACACGTTAAAGACAGATATTGAAAGTTTTTTTTTTTTTTTTTTTTTTTTTTATATCCCAGGTCCAAAGGGCCCAAACTAATTCCGACCCACACGCACAACCGGCACCACACGTGTGGGATGTGAAGCATCCGAAGGTGGCCGGAGGGGAAATCTCTATACCCTGGGTGTTGAACCCACGACCTATTGTTCAGGAAGTGGGCTCTCAAACCAACAGAGATGGGAGAGATCCCCCAGATATTGAAAGTTGTAGATATGCATGATTTATATTCGTTCGATTTAATTAGTTTAGGTACAGATATATTATTTATTGATTACTTAATAAATAATGTTACTTTTTCAACTCAATAAGAAATTTATACCCTGGGTGTTGAACCCACGACCTATTGTTCAGGAAGTGGGCTCTCAAACCAACAGAGATGGGAGAGATCCCCCAGATATTGAAAGTTGTAGATATGCATGATTTATATTCGTTCGATTTAATTAGTTTAGGTACAGATATATTATTTATTGATTACTTAATAAATAATGTTACTTTTTCAACTCAATAAGAAATTATATATCGTAAAGGTAATATTCCTTTTAAAATGATCACTTTTTTTTAAAGAAAAAAAAATTGGGGATTTCTTTCACTCAAGAAATTCTATAAATGGCTAAGAGGGTGACAAGTAGAACTGTATTGAAAACGATGGACCGTCGATATGAAACGCGTGATTCAAAGAACTCTTATCGATATACTTTGATTTCGTTTTCCTTTGCTTTTTCAATTTTTAGACTTTAGTGAACGTGGAGATTTCTTGTTCAAAGAGATGCGATGACACGTCCGCTAATCTTCCAAATCTCATTAAAAGGTTGATAATGAAATCACTGCGGGTTCATTAGCACAATGATATATCGCATTACGAATAATTCAAATTTAATAGGACCAAATATTAACTACCGACGGCAAGAATACAAGATATTTGAAAAAAAAAAAACAAATGATAATTATTGGACGTAAACTGAGAAAATTCTCTATAATGATATAAAATTCATTCAACGTGTGTGTGCGTGTGTGTGTGTATATATATATATATATATGGGTGTATATTTGTATCGGTATTAAAGAACAGAAAATGTGAGCAGTGGGTCAAAACGGCACGTTGAGGTATATCTGCATGCGTAAGCTCTATGGCGTGGGAGCATCAATAGACTTAATTATAATTAATTACATGATGCGAATAATTATTTTGACATTTTCCGAAAATACAAAAGTCAATAACACACATAAATAACTTAAACAAAAGGCTCACATCGACGCGAATCACGAGCAAAAACGTGTAAAGGTTGGTCAAATATTATTAGGTGAAGATTATAAAAAAAAAAGGGTTTATAAGCTAATAACATGACACGTACCATTTTTATCCAAAAAAAAAACATACACGTACAGATAATCCCACTTAAACTCCTTTCTAATATTGTCCTAATCTTTTATATCTAAGCGTAATTAATTAATCGCGGGTTTTTACACGTACGTATGATTTCGTTAGGTCGTGTCCCATTTCAGGAAAGATCGAGAAAAAAAAAATGATGGTTAATGGCACACGAAGCATTCTACACTTTTGTAGCTTACCAAACATTACGTTGTACAGTAACAGTAATTTTACTGATGCAATTACTATATATATACACTTCTCGAAATGTGATCCATATAAAAATTACACAGCATCTTAAATAAAAAAGAAAATAATAAAAATTACATTGTAAAATGGAGTTTTAAAAAACTTAATATTAAGTATAAGTATATTATAACTTATTAGGGTAAATCACAACACACACATTATATATATATATATATAATTACATGCTATACATGTGTATATATCAATTTGCCAATTATTACTTCGTTAGATATTTTTTTTTTGTGAGGAAGCTCAAATAAGTGGCTGGAATTAATAGTGGGAGGGTGTGTGTGTGTGTGTATATATATATAGAGAGAGGGCATATACGTCGATCCCTCGTGTCATTTATTTATTTTATTTTATTTCCAACCATGTATAGTATCCTTATTTTTTTTTTTTTGCTTCATGATTATGCCTACAAAAAAAAATTTAATGCGATTATAACTCTGCTTATTATACGAAATATATTAAACATACCTCATTATTTATATATATATATATATATATATATAGCAGAATCATCCTAAAAAACATGGAAGTTGGTATTATATGATCTGATTTCCTTGCAATTCTATTTCCATATTAATTAGATCTTCTACAGTTTTTACAATTTTATAAAATAATCTCAAGACTCTCAAAGAATTAACTGAACTGAAATCCGACTAAAAATAAATGCTTACAACTTTTTTAAAATAAAAAAATGAAAAAATAATTAAAAAATAAAATCTAATTGAAATCCAAAATATACACCCTAACACTAATAGCTATTTGAGCTATCTGGATGTATATTTGCATATATAAAGAGGATATATATATATAAAAAAAAAAAGGAAAAACTTACCGGCCAAATTGAACGTCAGCCGATTGCCTCCTCTTCCTAATTTATAGAGTTGAATGTTATTTTGATTATATATATATGCATAAACTTGCAATTGATGGTCCAATTCTTGTGCGATTTTTTTTTTTGAAAAATTTATATAATATTTGAGTTCATATATCAATGTATTGTTTCTATTTCGAGTTTTTATATTTAATAAAAATTCCTAAAAATTGTAATTAAAAATGGTGAAATAACGAAATCAGTAGAACTACCGACAAATGAAGTTTCGTGATTCTATAAATGAAAGCAAACTTATATTTTTTTAAATGCACAAAATAACTTTTGACCTATCGTGAGCAAGACTAGCTTATTTATAAAACCTTAATGTGCCATTTTTCTCCCAATTTAGTCGTGTACTGATTATCAAAAGGATTGAATCCTATTTTATATATATAATATATATATATACCCTTTTTACCAAAAAAAACTTTTGTTCTTATCGTAAATCAACCAATCAAATACCGATATTCAATGAATGATATAGTGAAGTTGATGAGATATAGAAACTGGGAATCAAGCAGAATGTGGAAAATGTGGAGTGCGGGGAGGATGACCAATAATATAAAGCCAATACGATATTGGCTTCGAACTGTTGAGAGATACAGTGAACATGTGACCACATTTACTGAATTTCCCAAATGTGAATCACATTTGTCGAGATGTGGACTTATTGTATAAAAGGGGACCAATAACATTCAATATATATATATATACACATATTCGAGAGGGACCGATAATATATATATATATATATATATATATATATATATATATATTTGTCAGAACAAAAGCCCTATCTGTTGAACAAAACAAGGACACAACAATTGAGAGAACATGAACATAACTGAAACTCTAATCTTGGATAAGGATTCGATGGTGTTAGGGAATTTGCCTGATCTTGCAAGTGAGAGATGTCGGATTTCCACCAGAGGAGACCACAAAGAAAAGCCACGACAAGGATCTGACCGACCTTGAGTCCGGAGAAAGAATCGTGCCGTCTCTCTTTGAGGCCTCTCTCCAACAGAACACAAAACTGTTGCCACCACGTCGTCGGCCAATCCCCGACATTCTTGTTTCTGTCACGAGAGTCAGATGAGTTGACCTGATCGCCATGTTCTCGGATCTCCGCCTGCAAATTGTCCACGAGATTCGTCTTGTAGGCTCCAACCAAAGCCTCTTTAATGTCATCTTGTTTCATGGATTCATCGGACGCCACACCTATTCAGTTCATATTTCAATAACAAGAGATTTAACATAACACTTATAGAGCGTAGAGAGATGGCATGCTTACATATCCACACACATATATTGTAATTGGCTACATATATAGATCAACCACTGACACGTACCGTTCGCAATGTCCAACAGAAAATCCGAAGGATTCATGGCCAATGAAGGAGAGTATCCAACGCTCGCAAAGTAATCCATAACGTTAGATCCACGACCATAATACAAAGGATTGCCTTCGGACAGAAGCAAAATCTTATCAAACATGTAGAACAACCTACTAGAAGGCTGATGTATCGTCATCACGACCGTTCTCCCTCCTTGAGCCAATTCCCACAGCACCGACACGATCCTCTGAGCCGTAGTTGAATCAAGCCCAGATGTCGGCTCATCGAGGAAAAGCAAACTAGGGTTTATCAGAATCTCTTGTCCTATACTAACCCTCTTCCTCTCACCACCCGATATACCTCTCAAGAACATCCCTCCAATGATACTGTTCTTACACCTGGCCATATATATATATATATATATATTTGTCAAATTTAAAAAGAGAGGTATTTTAGAATACCTCACATATGCTTATACGTGGAACATCTTCTCTCTACCCTCTCGCCGATTCTCGAACACGGTAACCCACAAACCACCGAGCTACGAGTGACGGCAGGTGACCAATTGCATCGGTTTGTATATATAATATATGTACGGATGCAAAAACCTCCAATAAAGCCATTGTTTATACACTAATATAATGTAGGGGCAGATTCCGGTTGAGTATTAGACTAACCGAACCATGGACAAAAAATTAATATCATGGGAACCAAATAACACGTAACCAACTAACCATAATTGAATGGTTATGATTTCTCTAAAAGCGAAAAAACCGAATCCGAATCCAAATAGAACATAATGAAAAAATAACAGAAAACCATATTTTTTTTATAAAATAAATATTTTTATTATAACCGAACCGAACCCAAATCAAAGATAACCGAACCAAACTAAATTCAATGTAAAAACTGAACAGTAATAGTTATTTTAAAATCGAAATAACCAAATTCGAATATAACCGAACCAAACCCGATTAAGTCACTCCTGCTCGACTGGCAAATCAAAGTAGAGCAACAAAACCCTTTTTTTGATGTAACCCTATCATCAACGGATACCAAAATCAATAAAGTTTCAACCCTTAGAAAGGGTGAACCTTACATGACCAATTATTTGCGAGAACATTAACTTGTCCGACACTAGAAAAAGGGACAACACTCGGGAGAGAGAGAGAGAGAGAGAGAGAGAGAGAGAGAGAGAGAGAGATCACCGCTGCTTGGCCTTTCCAACCCTCATCAAGGCAACGTAAGCAATAAGGCGGTAACCCACAAGCATCAAAAACAAAGCTAACACCGACATGGCTTCACCATCAAGCCCTATGTTCTTTATAGCTCCAAAGTCTCCCACATAACACACCGATCTCCCATCTGCTCCGCATGGATACGTATCATCCGCCTTGTACTGAGCCAAAACCAGGAGCTTGTACGCGTAGTTACCGATAGAGATATACTTAATCCACGATACGAACGGCGGAACGTGCTGAACGTAGTATCCGCCTGCCAACAAGAACGCGAGCATGATGACTGATCCGAGCGTTGTAGCCGATTTCAGGTCCATGACTACTGCACCAAGGGCTAACCCTAGTCCACCCGAGACGAGGACGTTGAAGAGGAGGCCGAAAAGGGTAAGGAAGAAGTTTCGGGGATTAGGGTTTAGACCGGCCATCCAATACGTTATGACGACGAAAATGGTGGGGAGGACTAGCTCCATGGGGAGATCGACGACCACTCGTGACATGAAATAAGAGGAGAGCTTGTACATTCCCGAGGAACGTTCTTTCTCGAGCATTCTCCGTTCTTGAGGAAATGTGAAGATTGCTTGGAAGAGAGGGAAGAACCCCCAGAAGCTGGAGGCGAAGAACAAAAGCCCTATCTGTTGAACAAAACAAGGACACAACAATTGAGAGAACATGAACATAACTGAAACTCTAATCTTGGATAAGGATTCGATGGTGTTAGGGAATTTGCCTGATCTTGCAAGTGAGAGATGTCGGATTTCCACCAGAGGAGACCACAAAGAAAAGCCACGACAAGGATCTGACCGACCTTGAGTCCGGAGAAAGAATCGTGCCGTCTCTCTTTGAGGCCTCTCTCCAACAGAACACAAAACTGTTGCCACCACGTCGTCGGCCAATCCCCGACATTCTTGTTTCTGTCACGAGAGTCAGATGAGTTGACCTGATCGCCATGTTCTCGGATCTCCGCCTGCAAATTGTCCACGAGATTCGTCTTGTAGGCTCCAACCAAAGCCTCTTTAATGTCATCTTGTTTCATGGATTCATCGGACGCCACACCTATTCAGTTCATATTTCAATAACAAGAGATTTAACATAACACTTATAGAGCGTAGAGAGATGGCATGCTTACATATCCACACACATATATTGTAATTGGCTACATATATAGATCAACCACTGACACGTACCGTTCGCAATGTCCAACAGAAAATCCGAAGGATTCATGGCCAATGAAGGAGAGTATCCAACGCTCGCAAAGTAATCCATAACGTTAGATCCACGACCATAATACAAAGGATTGCCTTCGGACAGAAGCAAAATCTTATCAAACATGTAGAACAACCTACTAGAAGGCTGATGTATCGTCATCACGACCGTTCTCCCTCCTTGAGCCAATTCCCACAGCACCGACACGATCCTCTGAGCCGTAGTTGAATCAAGCCCAGATGTCGGCTCATCGAGGAAAAGCAAACTAGGGTTTATCAGAATCTCTTGTCCTATACTAACCCTCTTCCTCTCACCACCCGATATACCTCTCAAGAACATCCCTCCAATGATACTGTTCTTACACCTGGCCAGACCAAGCTGCGTCACGACAGCCTCGGCCTGTTTGACCTTCTCCTGTCTTGTCATAGAATTGGGCAGCCTGAGAAGAGCGGGATACAGCACATCATCCTGCGTGACAAAGCCTGTGCTTCGCTTTACGCCTTTGGAGAACGGCTTGTCATTGTACGTTATCTCTCCAGTTAGCTTTCCGATACTTAGACGGCCTCCAAGAGCGGTGAGTAGAGTGGTTTTTCCGCTACCGGACGGTCCGAGCATTGCCAGCATCTCGCCCGGTTTCACGACTCCGGTTAACCCTTTCAAGATGGTTTTCTCCTCCTGAGCTTTGGTCTCGATTTGAAACCAACCTCTCGGTTTCTTGGGTTTGATCTTGTACACAACATTGTCAAACTGGTACATAGAGACAAACGATAGAACACGCAGATCATAAAACACAAACGAGGTAACAGATCTGAAACATCATTATAAACCCAAAACACTGCAGAAAAATTCACGATATGTACATGCGACCGACTGAAAATTACACGTTAGCTAACATCTCAGAATCTAAACGCATCTAACTATATATACATATATGTATATGTGCGTATATGCGTGTGTTATATGAAACGTACCTTCAGAGTGACGGGAAGATTAACGTTTTCGAAAATCGAAAAGGAATCGTTTCCGCCATTCTTGTTCTCGATCTGAGCTTCGACGTCCATAGCCACGTTCTCCATTAAACCGACAACGGAGAAACAGAAATCTTCGAAACTCAGAGCATCAAAGATATCGCTTTTTTTGTTGTTGTCAGGACTAAATAAATAGACGTTTTTGATGTTGAAGGATCATTAAAGGCTCTTAAATACAAATGGATTTTACGAGAAAATCAATATCTTAAATGAGGGGATCTTGTTTTGCGTTTGGAATTGGAAGAGACCGAGAAAGAAACTCAACGCAACTCTCTTTTTTTTTTTTTTTTTTGGGGGCGGGTTTTTTAGGGTTCATGCATTTGGAGATGTGAGATTTTTCAGGGAATTAAAGGGAGTTTCGAATATTACTTCTGTTACATCTACGATGCCTCAGGTGCCCGCCGTTTGTTTTCATCTTTGCTTCTAGAAGCGATCGATTCTTTTCCTATTTTTATTTTTATTATTAATTATCAATATATTATATTTTCTTGGTATTATTATTGTTAATTATGTGGAAAAAAATCACACAAACGCCACACAGAGGAAGAGAGATCTCTTGGATATTATATTGGCAGTGTAGAGAGGGGAAAAAAAATCCAAAAATAAGATTCTGTTGCAATCTTTTCCGGATCCGTATTGTCATTTATGTGTTGTAGTTAAATAATGGTGCGTTTATTCATTCACCTTAATTTGTTAGATACGGATTTATCTCTTTTTTAGGGTTTAGTTCTGTTGATTTTTGTTTTAAAAAAATTATGCCTGTATAATTTCTATAATTATATTAATTTCAGTTAGATTTTTTTTTGTCTGATATCAATTTATTCATGGATATTTATTAAAAAAAAATTGGTGTTCCATACATGATGATGACTACAAACGAAGGTTGTTGGTTTCTTTTTTATCACTATAGCTTGTAAATATATGTGAATATTCAATTGACGGTGATGGTGATCATGGAGATTTGCATGATGTTTTCACAAATTAGATATCCTTTTTTTTTTTACCGAGAGAATTCCAAAATACGAACAAAAATTTCACTGCTTTAGAAAATAAATTTCTCATTCTGAAAAAATCATACGAAGAACTGGAAAAAAAATTATATGAAAACTCTCAACTTGTCTAATGTTGCCTTTTTAAAAATTAACTAACGTTAAGTCGTTAACTTATTATAAAGATATTGTCATTTGTTATTTACAGATTTATTTAGATTTTATCTAGATTTGATCCTATCATATTTTCCTATGTAACTCTGTATATTGGTGTATAGAATTACCTACACG